TGGACGCATCGAATAACGGATGACTAATTTTTAAAAAAATTGGTAGGTTTTGGTTCTAAACCTCGGCGGATCCTTTGATGATACCCGCGACGTTGCCAAATTTCCAATTTTTCAGAAACTGTTAGCATTTTTTGTTTTTCTTATGGAATGCTTTTTATTAAACATACTTTGATGTAAACATCATAGTTTTCGAAATATACGCGGTCAAACATTAATATCCAAACAATAAAAGGTATTTTTTTATCTAAACAATGACCAGAATCGAAGGTCATTTCATTTCTGACATTCAAAACTCCATTGAGTTTTGTTAGTAGATTTGTTGAGAATGATTAACTGAAACTGAGAAAATGATTCTGATCTAATGAGAAGATCTACAGTTGGAAACATTTTGAGGAAAATTGTAATAACAGGACATGAAAGGGTGTTCCACTATCTGGCCGTTCCAAAACAGCCACTGACGAAAATAAGGCTTTGCACATTTTGGTGAGCATATGGGAAAGCCCTCACCTTTCTACTAGAACACTTGAAGATAACAATACATCTCACATGTCTGTGGAACGCATTTTAAAGACGTCATAGTATGTTTAACAAAAAGCATTCAGAATATCTTGCAGAATACAAATATCGAATAAAATGAGTTGCAGTCTATAAAAAAACAAAGGTTGCTCTCAGTTTCTGAAAAACTGTAGATTTGGCAACATAGCGGATATCATCAACGGATCCGCCTAAACCTACCAATATAAAAAAACTATTCGTCAGATCTTTGATGCGTTCGAATCTTTTGTTTCACTCTGTATGCTGGTATTTACACATTGGACCATTGCAAAATGTATCCCAATATATTATACAGGGTGTCCGCAAAGTTGGGGTTTTCCTTTTCAGAAACAACTACCCTTGAAATAACAAAGGTAATGTGTAGTGAAACGAGAGCGACCAAGTAACAAAAAAATAAGGAAAAAGTACTCACTCTCCAGTTGACGAGAAGGGCTAAGTACGTCTCTGCCTGAAATCATACCGCTCCAACAGAAAATGAAATCAGCTCATGCGCTACCGAGCAGACGCCGGCGGTGGTGCAAACCAAACAAATAAGACGGCGTTGCCGCGTTTTCAGTTTTTAGGTAAACGTACTTCATAGGTATTGTTCGAAGTTATCGCCGTTTGATTCAAAAACACAGGTGCGTGCACGACGTAGCCAAGCATCGGTGCAGGCTTTGAGAATGGAGTCCCTCCCCCGAATGAAAGCACCAGCTTGTTCAATTCTGAGACGATGTTCGTCAACCGTATGCACTTCAGTTTTGTACACTAAGCGTTTCATTTCTCCCCAAAGAAAAAAATCACATGGTGTTAAGTCTGGAGATCGCGGAGGCCACGCTACGGGTCCATTACGTCCGATCCACCTATTCGGAAATAATTCATCCAAAAACTCACGCACTTCGCGTCTAAAATGGGGCGGTGCACCATCGTGCAGAAACCACATTGATTGTCTTACACTTAATGACACATCTTCTAACAAGGATGGCAAAATGTTGCGTAAAAAGTCTAGGTATTGCATCCCGTCCAATCGATTTGGGAGAATAAATGGTCCAATGAGCATACCGTTCACCATGCCAGCCCAAACATTCACCGAAAATGTTTGTTGAAAATGTGCCCGACGGACAGCGTGCGGATTTTCTACTGAAAAAACATGAGTGTTGCGAAAGTTATTCACCCCATTACGCGTGAACGTAGATTCGTCTGTCACCAATATGCACTTCAAAAAGTCCGGATTATTGTCATGTTGATGCAACAGCCACTCACAAAACCGCACTCTTGCTGGAAAATCGTCAGGTTGAAGGGCTTGTACACGTTGGACGTGAAACGGATACAGCCCCTCTTCACGCAGCGTTTGCCACACTTTAGTTTTTGATACTTCTCTAGCCACGTCTCTAGTGCTTGTTGAGGGATTCTCATCTACGCGATTCAGTAGTTCTTCCTCAACTTGCACCATTCGTGGTTGTCTAGGCCTCCCACTGTGCCCACCTCGTAACAGCAAATCCAATATCACGCCGTTGACAACAGTGGTTCGCAGTCAGAGGAAGCACTAACCGTGGACGTATTTGTCTTGACGGTCGACAATTTGGCCTTCTCGTGTTCCTCGACCTTCTTCTATCCACACACGACACACACGTATTACCGTCATCGCAGGACAATTAACACGGCGGCCAATTTCGCGATAGGACAAACCAACATCTCGATAGGCAATAATTCTGCACTTGTCAAAGTCTCTAACATGGTGATAATTTGGATGTCTGCGGACTCGAGGTATTTTGTTATGCTTTACACTAAATGAAAGGGTAATAACTAAAGATACCTGTAGTTCTCAGAAGCTGCTTTCTTCACCAAAACTAAGAGATAACATTTTAACAAAGTTAAACAAAAACTAAGATAAAACGTTGAAATTGTTGCCACAGCATGCCTTAAATATAGTCATTATCTTGCCAAAAAACAAGTTGAAGACATTGTTTTTTCAATCAATAAACGTCATTTTGCTTAGTGTAAGTGTAGCGTTTTTTAAATACTTTATGGCAGCTTGGCAACACCGCTTCAGCAGCTAAGGTCAGTCCACATATAGATCGCTGCTTTTATTTGTAAACCAGTGATATAGCAGCACACAGTGAATTATTCTATTGAAAATAGTACCTTACCTGTTCAGTGGAAGCTTGCTAATATTACTCCTTTGCCTAAAGTAGGGAGGTGGATCTTTCTGTCAACGCTAGAAAGATCGAGCTCCATCTGTTCACTAGAGCTTATTTCATAAATTACACACAACTCAAGTGATATTAATTTTATTAATTTCCAACAGAAACATACAATTACACAATTGATAATATAAAAGTAAAACCGATTAACATATTCATAAAATATAATATTAAAAAATACGCATATGCAAAATCCTATGCTGTATTTGTCGTATTTTAAAAACTACTACATTTTCCTTTTAAAGAAATTTGTTTAATCGTAAATCCTTCTAAAAAAAGTTTCATTTGAAAATTGTAGGGAATGATGGTGACCTTGAAATGTCCAATATATCCGTGAATGTAACTAAGTTTTAATGTAAGCAGACAAATTAGCAACAAAAAAGCAAATAAGAAAAATGCATTATAATTATAGCCCAAGAGCCTAACTAAGCACGACTTTCACCGATTTGATGACCGGATTTCATAACGTATTTTATACATTAATAAAGTGTTTGTACGCATGTTGGGTTAGTTCGTAATTTTACCCTCTACCGCCTGAATTATATGAATTTTGATATCGCTATTGTCTGGTGTTAAATTTTAAAGGTTAAAAGGGTGAAAGTAATATGTATTTCCTTTATTAGAAAACAAAACCCTTGGATGAACAGCTGCCTGCAGAACAGAATTTGTGGTTGTTTCATGACGGGGCACCACCACACATTTTTAGAGGCGTCATTCAGTATTTGAATGAACATTATCCAAATCGCTGGATCGATGGAAATGCTCCTGATCCTCTAAAATGGCCAGCAAGATCTCCTGACCTCAATCCGATGGATTTCTGGTATTGGGGAGAACTTAAAGGGTTGGTTTATCACCCATTTAAATAATGACTATCATAACGTTTACACCATGCATAAGCTTAGTAACGTAACGTTTTAAAATCTTACCCCTAACTAAGAGAAGGGTATTGTCTGACTTATGCTGTCTCCACCGAATCCTGAACAATCGAATTGACTGCTTGTACCTTTTATCTAAAATAAATATAAACGTACCGCTAAAAGTGAATCCTAGAAAATGTATGTACTCCAATATCCCGTTTTTTAGAACTAATATTACTTTTAACTCTGCACTGATACGAATGCAAATAAATCACAAGAACCATAGTGAATAAGATGATATTTTCACTTCATCATACTACTTCTCTACGAGTATTTTCTGATTATCATTATAAATATACTACTGTATTTTCATATACATATACAGTGTGACTTTGAAGTTGAGTCATTAATTTTCAGATAATGATTGTAGAAGGAAGATAAACCAAAATATGTGTGTAAAAATAAAAAAAAAAATGTTACCTTGTTTTATAAAGTATCCTCCCGACAAGTATTTCAGTGCGGACCTGTATTTGATCGTGAGGTCTTGGAGCACCGGCATGCTCTGCCCTGTGAGGTCTTAAGTCACCTGATTCACGAGCCCTTTGTACTACATTAACAAAGGCGCGAGGGGTTGGTTGCACTCGATTGGGAAACCGATCCGCATAAACATGTGCCATTTTTTATTTCGTTTGAGCCACGCAGCAAACACCACTATTCACTCACGCGTTACCGACTGACACATTGACTGAATAAAAACATCGTGATCAGCGTTTCAAATTCTTTCGCTTTTTTGTTTCCGATGCGATGAACCGATAAGGCGGATTATATCCGTTGTTGCCAAACACGAGCACATAATATTATTATTGAGACAGGGCGGTACTCAAACTTCTAAAGGGCTATAACTTTGTTACTTTAATGTTACCACAAAAATGTTAAAGGAAAAAAACATTTCTTTTGATCAGATCTACTCACTGTTAAAATAAATGACTCAACTTCGAAGTCACAATGTCGTTTACAAATAACAGTGCTCATATCTTAATATGCCTAACAATTCTGTATGCCTATTTTGGAGATTTTCTGTGTTTGATGATCCTAATTTCGTAAATAAATCAATAGATGTGTAAGCTATTGATCCATATAACGGCTGTACCTCTTATGGATTCCTCTATATTTATTCTCAGTATCATTCTATCCAAATATATTATTAATAATCATAGTTACACAGTCATTGTCAACTAATCTAGTTGTTTTATATGTGCGATCTGGACATTTATATTATATTTTTCAATTATCCCAGGAAATGCAATTAGAATGTTATATGACCAAAAAGACACTTGTTTTTATTCAGCATTGCAGTATTTACACGTGACCGCTTGAAAATCAAGTGCCACTTAACGATGAGTCATTAGATGTTTCTCGAAATTGAACATTTATCTACTTTCTGCGGTTCTGGATGCTTTTTTAACACATGATTATCTAGTCCTTTTTTAGTTTTAAACGTAGCTTGACAATTCGTACACTCGTTTAAATTTGTAATTTTTTCAGAATGCGTCAATTTATGTCTGTCCATTTTGAACCTTGCCACGGTTTTGTACGTACAATTTGGACATTCATATATTTTTGTGATAACTGATGATATAAATTCTGGGTGGTCTCTTAGTATATGATCGTCCAGAGATTGTCTCTTTTCAAAAGCAGTATTGCAATGTTGAGACGTTCTGCACTGAGTATAAGGAATTGTACGTGGATGGTTCCTTGGCATATGAGCGGCCAGTTGCCTTTTTACGACAGTTTTATATGTACAATGTGCACATTGAAATATTTTCCGTGTAACGGACTCTGCTAATTCTGGATGTTCACTTAATATGTGATCATCTAGCGTTAAGCTTCGTTTAAAAGTCGCATTGCAATGTGTACACGTAAGAAACGGAATACTAGATGAAGACAAACCATGTATAGTCATTACATGCCTATCGAAATTCTGGTTATTCGTTGTTTTGTATTTGCATTCTGAACATTCGTATATCTTACTAGTGACTAACGTTGCATATTCTGGATGATTTTCCAATATGTGATCATCTAAAAACGTTTTGTCTTCATATCTCTCATTACAATACGCACAAGTAACTGTCGTGTTCGTAGTAGATACGCTAGGCTGATTCTGGGGCACTTGATCGCTCGCCCCATGTACCGCTTTGATATGCTTCTCAAAATCACGTTTCTTGGTAGTTTTACACGGGCACTCTGAACATTTGAACACTTTGACAGATACTGAGCTCATATATTCCGGGTGTCTTTTCAGTATATGACTTCCTAGTCCCAGTTTTGATTTGAATGTAGCAAGACAGTGTTCACACTTTTTAAAAGTAGCGGTGTCATCAGAATGTGTCAATCTATGTCTGTTCAGTTTGGCCGTTACAACAGTTTCAAAAGCGCAGTCTGGACAGCGAAGTATTTCTGTCATTATTGATGATTTAATATCAGGATGTGTTCTTAGTATATGATCTTCTAGCGTTCGTGTTCGTGTGAAAGTCGCATTGCAAATCGTACATGTTCTGCGCTTATTGTTAGCCTTCATGCTTGAATGTTTTTTCGGTATATGGTTTTCTAGTTCCCTTTTTATAACTGTTTTATAAGTACACTGTGTACAATGATACACTTGGCGTGTAATTGATTCAGAAAATTCTGGATGTTTTCTTACTATATGATCATCCAGGGTTAGTTTTAGTTTGAAACCCGCGCTGCAATGCGTACATGTAAAAAGCGAAATGCTGGATGCAGGAGAATTATGTATAGATACAAGATGCTTCTCGAAATAACTCTCAACCGTGGTTTTGAAACTACATTCCGAACATTCGTGTATTTTGTAAGTGATTGAAGCCGTATGCTCTGGATGTTTCTTCAATATATGTTCGTTGAGACTTCGCGTATCACCGTATTTTGCATTACACAGTTCGCAAACCCTGCCTATTTTGTATTTCGAAGCCGCTTCAGGATGATTCTTGTACATGTGCCGACTCCACACTTGTTTGCTATTAGTTTTAAACGCGCATTCTGTACAAATGTGAATCCTACCCCTAACTGATTCTAGCTCAGGATGCTTGCTAATTATATGATTATTAAGAAATTCTGTAGTTTTATATATCGCTCCACAATGAGGACACGTCTTATCACCTTCAAAATGCATTCTAAATGCATGTCTAACAAGATATCTTTTTTTACTGAATTTCCGGCTGCATTGCAAACAATCATATTCTTTATCACCTTCACAATGCGTTCTAAATACATGTCTAACAAGATATCTTTTGTTACTGAATTTCCGGCTGCATTGCAAACAATCATATTCTTTATCGCTTCCAAAATGCATTTGAAATGCGTGCCTATCCAAATATATTTTTTTGGTAAATGTCCGATTGCATTGTGAGCAAATGAACTCATCTCGCCTACCGTAATTTTTTTTACTACACTTTTTAGTTTTGAAATGTCTAAGTAAATGATGTTTGTAATGTGTTGTATAGTTACAATCATAACAATTGAATGATTTTTTCTCTGCTTTCCTATGTTGGTTTCCATGTCCTTTCATCGAGCGTTTCTTGCTGTCATCACTGAAAAAGAATTACAGTATAAATACTCCTGAAATCTCTAAGTAATATGGTAGTATGCTTTATCAAGTTGAGAGTCAATAGACTAATCACATTAGTAAATAAAGAAGATCTAAAAATACTGCAAAATTTATTCTACCTAATCCAAAAAATAACCAGGAAGCCGGGTGGGTTTCAAAGGACTTTTGGCGTTTTAGGGACGATGGACGAGAGTGCTGTGTCTAGGACGTTAGAAAAAGGAGGAATGTGAAAAGGAGAAAAAAAAACGGAATGTGACCTGGAAGACAGGTAAAAAATATTGTCATGAGCCAAACGAACATGCGGCCTACGGCTGCACTTCCTCTTTGACGACAACATTGTAAAATGTCATATATATGTTAAGAATGTTCAGTATTGTTTAATATTTTGTCTCACCCGATAAATGTTATTTTTGTCTCACCCGATAAATGTATCCGAGCCAGTCTGCTCGCGCTTATCTTGATGGTGTTGGTAACAACATTGGATGCCTGACCAGTTTTTGTTTGGTTTTTGCAGTGGTCAACCATGAACGTTCTGTTGACGAGATCAGATCTGAATTGTGTGTTTTGAGCGATAATTAGTTTAATTTCGACCTCAGGTTAACATCAGAAGTGGGATATACCGTGCGTGCCAAAGACTGTGACATTTTTCTTATTTTGGATTGGTTTTACCCCCAATTTATTGATGTTTGGTAAGAAAGAGCTAATACTCAAGTATCCGCATGTTTATTTTGAAACCTTAAATGGTTGATATGTTTATTTTCGAACCTTAAATGGTTGACTTATGTCCTTTGGAACCTTAGATGGTTGATTTATGTTTATTTTGGAACCTTAAATGTTTGATATGTTTATTTTCGAACCTTAAATGGCTGACTTATGTCCTTTTGGAACCTTAGATGGTTGATTTATGTTTATTTTGGAACCTTAAATGGTTGATATGTTTATTTTCGAACCTTAAATGGTTGACTCATGTCCTTTTGGAACCTTAGATGGTTGATTTATGTTTATTTTGGAACCTTAAATGGTTGATATGTTTATTTTCGAACCTTAAATGGTTGACTTATGTCCTTTTGGAACCTTAGATGGTTGATTTATGTTTATTTTGGAACCTTAAATGGTTGATATGTTTATTTTCGAACCTTAGATGGTTGATTTATGTTTTTTAACCTTAAATGGTTGATATGTTTATTTTCGAACCTTAAATGGTTGACTTATGTCCCTTTGGAACCTTAGATGGTTGATTTATGTTTATTTTGGAACCTTAAATGGTTGATATGTTTATTTTCGAACCTTAAATGGTTGACTTATGTCCTTTTGGAACCTTAGATGGTTGATTTATGTTTATTTTGGAACCATAAATGGTTGATATGTTTATTTTCGAACCTTAAATGGTTGACTTATGTCCTTTTGGAACCTTAGATGTTTGATTTATGTTTATTTTGGAACCTTAAATGGTTGATATGTTTATTTTCGAACCGTAAATGGTTGACTTATGCCCTTTTAGAACCTTAGATGATTGATTTATGTTTATTTTGGAACCTTAAATAGTTATGTTTATTTTCGAACCTTAAATGGTTGACTTATGTCCTTTTGGAACCTTAGATGGTTGATTTATGTTTATTTTGGAACCTTAAATGGTTGATATGTTTATTTTCGAACCGTAAATGGTTGACTTATGTCCTTTTGGAACCTTAGATGGTTGATTTATGTTTATTTTGGAACCTTAAATGGTTGAAATGTTTATTTTCGAACCTTAAATGGTTGACTTATGTCCTTTTGGAACCTTAGATGGTTGATTTATGTTTATTTTGGAACCTTAAATGGTTGATGTGTTTATTTTCGAACCCTAAATGGTTGACTTATGCCCTTTTAGAACCTTAGATGATTGATTTATGTTTATTTTGGAACCTTAAATAGTTATGTTTATTTTCGAACCTTAAATGGTTGACTTTGGAAACTTAAATGGTTGATATGTTTATTTTCGAACCTTAAATGGTTGACTTATGTCCTTTTGGAACCTTAGTTGGTTGATTTATGTTTATTTTGGAACCTTAAATGGTTGATATGTTTATTTTCGAACCGTAAATGGTTGACTTATGCCCTTTTAGAACCTTAGATGATTGATTTGTTTATTTTGGAACCTTAAATAGTTATGTTTATTTTCGAACCTTAAATGGTTGACTTTGGAACCTTAAATAGTTATGTTTATTTTCGAACCTTAAATGGTTGACTTATGTCCTTTTGGAACCTTAGATGGTTGATTTATGTTTATTTTGGAACCTTAAATGGTTGACATGCTTATTTTCGAACATTAAATGGTTGACTTATGTTCTTTTGAATGAATCATAAAAAATTGATTAATAAAAAAATAAAAAAAAAGAACCTTAGATGATTGAGATAAATTTGGATCCGAATCAAAGGGCGAAATGGTGTTAAGAATGTTTTGAATATGATGTTTTACCGTAACAATCCAAGATCTAAGTAGTATGATTCGAACCTTAAATGGTTGCCATGTTAATTTTGGAACCTTGAATGGTTGATATGTTTATTTGTTGTACTGGTAATTAAAATATTTTATTGCGTACGACAGCAGGATGACCGTGTTAGGAATGTTCAGTATTATTTAATATTTTGTAAAACCCGATAAATGTATCCGAGCCAGTCTGCTCGCGCTTATCTTGATGGTGTTGATAAAAACATTGGATGCCTGACCAGTTTTCGTTTGGTTTTTGCAGCGGTCTGTTGACGAGATCAGATCTGAATTGTTTATGTGCAATACAAGAAGTGTTTTGAGCGATAATTAGTTTAATTTCCACCTCAAGTTAACATATATTATTTCTTTTCTTAATTAAAACAACAAAAGATTTTCCCCAAGCTCAAATCGAGGTTGCCATTTGCCATGAAGTTGCTTTAGGGGAGAACGCAAAAATAGTACAACTGAAGTCGAAATCGGTCACTTACCATCGGGTTTTCTTTGTGAGAACAGTGCCTTAAGCTGAAGTTGTCAAGGGGTGACAGTTCATCATTTAATAGTGTTAGTATATGGAATTATATCAATCCATGGTAGGACATGCAATATGAGAAAAAAAAACACTAATTTAAATAATAATGGGTCCACCATCAATATTTATTCGGAAATTTAGCAGATAGAGCTTCGAAGGAAGGCTTACTGTTGAAAAACTGACAACGACAAGAAGTATTAAATATAGAATAAAACCATGTCCTTCCCGAAAGATTTTTGTTTGTAAATTGGAAAAAGAAAAATCCTCAGGCTTTGATACAACACGTGTCGGTCCTTAATTTTTAAAAATGGTGGATGCTGTTAATAATATTTTTTTTACTCCAACTACCACGAAGGCCTAAGGCCTAAGCACCCATTGGGTACCGTGGGGCTATAGGGGAATACATGGGAAAGGGGGGAGGGGGGACGCCACGCCAGAGACCATCTACCACCTAAGGACAATCACAACATCCATAGTCAAGAGAAAAATTTCTCCTGGGACGGGACTCGAACCCGCACAGCGCACGGCAACTGATCAGGAGACCGAAGAGTCTACTACTGCGGCCACCGCTGCTGCCTCAATAGTCGATAAACCAGTTTCAAAATATGGTGGATGATGTGCCTACTTTATAGCGACAGCCTGAATCTTTCAAAAAATGGTGAATGCGGTCACCAATAGTCTAGACTAATTTCAAAATATGGTGGATGATGTGCCTACTTTATACTGACAGCCTGAATCTTTTAAAAAATGGTGAATGCGGTCACTAATAGTCTAGACTAATTTCAAAATATGGTGAATGATGTGCCTACTTTATAGCGGCAGCCTGAATCTTTTAAAAAATGGTGAATGCGGTCATTAATAGTCTAGACTAATTTCAAAATATGGTGGATGATGTGCATACTTTATACGGACAGTCTGAATCTTAAAAAATGGTGAATGCTGTTACTAATAGTCTACATGCTAATTTCAAAATATGGTGGATGTTACGCCTAGTATATATGGACAGTCGCGGTTTTAAAAAAGGTGAATGTGTTTCACTGCTCTATATGGAGTGTTTCAGACTCTACTCTCGCTATTAGGATCTCTGAAGCAGTAAGGTACGAAATCGACTAGATCGGGGCAAAGTAGCGCATTTAGGTTACTAAGAAAATGACACACGGGCGAACACCAGCCAGGAGGCTTGAAATCTAAATCAGTGTGTTGCTGAAACTATACGAAATCCATGGAAAAATTGATTCATTATAGGTATGTAGTAGAACTGGGGAGCCTCACTATTAAAAACCATGAGGTCACGGATTTTGTGCCGACTAGAAGTACTGTAAGTTTGAGCTTACATTTACCAGTTTTAGGTCTACCGATAAATAGAAAGTGATTAAAATTTTAACTTGAAATTTTGAAAAATAGCTGAGATATTAATGTTAATAATGTTTTGAAGCTCCTCTCTCGCTACACATTCGTTAAGTCGTCGCGGCATTACTTGAATGAGGTGATTGAATTCGGTTTCGTAGAGTCTCCAATGTTTGTGAAGGGTGCGGTGAATTTTGCAACCTTCTTACATGTTCTTTCGATTCACCCGATTAGCGATTTCTCTAAAAGAAAATCCGGCTTCACCTAACCCTATTAACCGGAAAGTTGATTGAAATTAGCGTGTCTCCGAGCTCTGTGCATGATAATGTGATGAAACAAATGGAACCAATACAGAAAAATCACTGAATATTAAGTAAACATGTGCATATTGTTCGAATAAAAAAAAATCAGTCTCATCGCTTAGTTAACAGACCTCGTCTCATGATCCAAGTGTGTAATCCCATTACAGCATCTTGTGTATAAATCCCCCTTAAATGCATGCGAAACTCTATCATCACCATGTTTTGGAATTTTTTAGAATTCTACTAGTGAAAAAAATTCTAAAGGAACGCACAAAGACAATAGTTATGTGTATTGGGTTAGTACAGGGAAAACGTCCAGGGTTTACCTGAGAGAAACGACGAACTTCATCTTCATATATTTATTAGAATAATAGTATTAAGTAACTCAAAACTAACTAAACATTTTATACCAGGAATAATAAGAGTTACAAGATAAAAACTAAAACTATACATTCAACATTTGACAAGCAACTGTGGTTGGACACAGTGTCAGCCTACGTTGACATATATGGTGGTTTTTACACATTGGCCCACTGTAACAAGAGCCTTTGCAAAAGATGTCCCAATAGGCACTTCAGGATTTGAATTTTGCGCCATTTTTCAGCAAAATGTCGTACGACATTTTACATTGCGCATGTGTCATTTAGTCCAGGAATAATCTTTGCATCCGCTCGTAAAATATTCTGATTCGTAACAAATATTACTCAAAATAAAAATATTTTCACAAATACTTAAAAAAAATATATATTTATTGCTCCTGACAATTTTTTTTAGTTTTTTTTTTGGGTAACTCTGAACAAAAAAAGGTTGTATAAACTGCTATCTGTAGTTGATGGTTTTGGAAATATTTTATACTTGGAAACGTGCAAAATGTGCCATTTTCGAACACGTGCGCTTGATTAACAATTAAAAAACAAGTTTACAATAACAATTGGGATATTGTTTGGAGACTATTTAGGAACTTTGGCAACATTAAAAGTTTCGAATTTTCACATTTTTTTCGTTGTCGAAAAGTGCATATTTCGCACTTTTCCCAATATTAAATCGGTTATGTCTCGAAAACTAGCAACTTCAGAAAACAACATAAAACTTTTCTTGTCTAGAATCACTGAAAAAACCCTAAAAAATTTTGCTTAAAAACAAATTTTGGAATTTGTTTAAAAATGGGATCCATCAATTTTTGACGCCATTTCCTTAAAAGGGGTCCATTTTGAATAAAATTATGAAAAAAATGAATTAGAGCAGACGGGAAGACACTTCACTTCCTGGACTACATCATATTTTCCTTACCTCAACATTAATATAGTATCAACAAGCATCTTATACAGGGTGACTTCGAAGTTGAGTCATTTATTTTAACAGTGAGTAGATCTGATCAAAAGAAATGTTTTTTCCCTTTAACATTTTTCTGGTAAAATTAAAGTAACAAAGTTATAGCCCTTTAGAAGTTTGAGTACCGCCCTGTCTCAATAATAATATTATGTGCTCGTGTTTGGCAACAACGGATATAATCCGCCTTATTCGTTCATCGCATCGGAAACAAAAAAGCGAAAGAATTTGGAACGATGTTTTTACAATTATTTTATTCAGTTGTATACAGTCAGTGTCAGTCGGTAACGCGTGAGTGAATAGTGGTGTTTGTTGCGTGACTCAAACGAAATGTAAAATGGCACATGTTTACGAAAATGCTGAACTTGTGGACATGATTCTTATTTAATCGAGTGCAATGGGCTCGTGAATCAGGTGACTTAAGACCTCACAGGGGAGGTCATGCCGGTGCTCCAAGACCGCACGAACAAATACAGGTCCGCACTGAAATACTTGTCGGGAGGATACTTTATAAAACAAGGTAACATTTCTTTTTTATTTTTACACACATATTTCTTTCTACAATCATTATCTGAAAATTAATGACTCAACTTCAAAGTATATTGGGTGCATTTCAAATTCCCAAAATTAAATACCTTTTGCGATATCCTACAAGATATAGATAAGCTAAATTAAAAGTAGGGTTGTAGATATAACATTTCTTAATACTATGACAGATAAGATCTATGTACATGTGTTTGGGAGGTCTCTTTTTAACAACTTTCTTAATTTTAACAGTTTACAAAAAGCTAAAAACTAAAACTATACGTTTAATGTTTGGCGATGGGCCAAGGTAAGTCATTGTGGTTGAACACATTGTTCGCGCGTCTTGATGTACAGTGTACAACAAAAATTTGGACGCATCGAATTGGTAGGTTTTGGTTCGAAACCTCGGCGGATCCGTTGATGACACCCGCGACGTTGCCAAATTTCCAGTTTTTCAGAAACTGTTAGCATTTTTTGTTTTTCTTATGGAATGCTTTTTATAAAACATACTTTGATGTAAACATCATACTTTTCGAAATATACGCGGTCAAACATTAATATCCATAAAAGGTATTTTTTTTTCTAAGCAGTTTCTGAAAAACTGTAGATTTGGCAACATCGCGGATATCATCAACGGATCCGCCTAAACCTACCAATATAAAAAAAATATTCGTCAGATCTTTGATGCGTTAGAAACTTTTGTTTCACTCTGTATGCTGGTATTTACACATTGGACCATTGCAAAATGTATCCCAATATATTATATATTGCGCATGTGTCATTTAGAGCAGGAATGCTTGGAACTGCTCGTAAAAATATTCTGATTCGGTTTGCCACAATCTTCCAACATTTTTATAACGTAAAGAAGCATCATATACATACACATTTCATTGATTTCATTCCGAAATACCTACTAAGTTACAGATAAGCTATATTAAAAGTAGGGTTGTAATTACATAACATTTCTTAATACTATGATCGGATCTATATACAGGGATTTGCAAAGTATCTTTTTAATAACTTTCTTAATTTCAGCCGTTTGACGTCACAGCTGTTTCAGTTGCTTTGGTATCTAGGATGGCCTTCTTGATTTTCATAACTCTACTGTTCCGTGTCAGCGCTCTATTTTGAGGTTATGTCACAAATATCTATTCGCTTCAAACTGTTCATGCTTTTAATTCAAAAAGAAAACATAAGTTTACAATAGGGTAGCGGTGACATGGTACAGTAGAAATATAGAAATACCCCAGCCTTTCTGAACGAGAAAAAATACTATGAAAATCAAGGAGACCAAAGAAACGAATGACGATACTGCCTCTAGAGTCACGGTTTGGTTGTTGACGCATTCAAAAATGCTGTTTTATTTCCATATGCAAAACTTAAAAGACATCCCTCGTACAAATACTTTTTTTAGCTGGCTACGAGCTCCAATGTCAAATTTCAACGACAAATCCAACTTAAAAGTATCATTAAATCAATGCGTCAATATATGTCGTTGGAATTGACATTTTTCAATCGTTTTATAACTGCAGCTATCGCAATGATACACTTTTCTTTTCACCGACGAAATAAACTCAGGATGATTTTTAACGATATGCGCTTCCAAATTCCGGTCTTGTTTAAAATTCGCCCCGCAATGGTCACACTTGATAGCCGCAGCACTGTGCGTCGCCGAATGTCTGTTCAATTGGCCCTTTTTAAGCGTCGTATACGCGCATTCCGAACAACTGTATAATTTTGTAACCGATGAAATAAACTCCGGATGATCTTTTACAATATGCACGTCTAAAGCTCGATCTTGTTTGAAATGCGCCTCGCAATGTTGACACTTGATAGTCGCAGCGCTGTGTGTCGCCAGATGTCGCGTCAAGTGCGCTTTCGTAAGCGTTGTATACGAGCATTCTGTACATTTGTATACATTGCTGGTAATTGAGGATGCGGTTACATAATTGGGATGATCTTTTATTATGTGATCGTTTAACGCTACGTTATCGGGAAATGTAGCTTCGCAATGTAGACAAGTATTATCAGACGTATTTTTTTTGGCTCCGACGCAATCGGACAATAGATGTTTGTTTAGAGCAAATTTTCTAGCCGTTTTATAGGAACAGTATGCGCACTGATGTATTTTTCGTTTGAGGGACGCCGTGTGTTCCGGATGCTTTCTGATTATGTGCTCGTCTAGACAAAATTTGTCTAGGAAAGTATCGTTGCAATGTATACACATAAAAATTGGCGCGGACTTAACGCCGTAGTGTTTCAGTATATGTTTCTCGTACTCGCCATTGTCGATACCTTTATACGTGCAATTTGGGCATTCGTACGTTTTTCTTTTTACCGTTTCGATAAACTCCGGATGTTTTCTCACTATATGACCCTCCAGAGTGCGTTTCGATTGCAAATATTTATTGCAATGCACGCATCTGTTGTCTGTAGCGCCGTGTGTAAACATGTGGTTTTTCAAATGGGTTCTGTAGCCCGTTTTGAATGTGCACTCCGTACACTCGTATATTTTTTCGGTGATTGAGCCTATATGTTCCGGATGTGTCTTTATGATATGGTGATTCAGCGTCGTGACATGACTGAATGTCATGTCGCAATGTGCACAGTTGACAGTTTTAATATCGCGATGGCGATGGTTCACCAGATGTCTGTTCAGGTAAAGCATGCTGACAGTTCTATGCGGGCAATTCGGACACTGGTATATTTTCGAGGTTATTGACCCAATAAAATCTGGATGTTTTTTTAGTATATGATCGTCTAATGCCGGTTTCTTTTTGAAAGTCCGGTTACAATGTACGCACACCATCAGAGCTCTGTTGTATCGAGATGCTGCGTTAGGATGTTGCACAATATGTTTATCCAAAGTGATTTTTTCGGTAGTCCTATACGTGCAATCCGGACATTGGTAGAGTGTGGCAGTAGAAGGATCTGTGTTAATCGTCGACATAAACGACTTCTTCCAACCGGTATTCAAAGTGCAATTTTTTGTAATGTGACATCTCAAGCTTCTTTTATTGTTAGTTGTATGGTTACAATTATAGCAAGTTAATATTTTGCCCTTTACCCTTCTAGGTGCCTTACCTAGTCCGCTTTCCCAGTATTTCTCTTTCGAAGCACTGAAAAAGAATTACAAAAATTACTTTTTAGTTCTTTGGTGGTACAAAATACAATGTTCGTCTCACATACAGTGGCTGGATTCAAAACACGTAAGAAATACCATAAAAATCTCACAAAACAAACAACCCTTCAAGGACGATTCTAATCAACAGGTTCGAAGATAGAAAATCGTAATTTTACCCGAAATGTTTTGTTTTTGTTAAAATACTAATAATTAGTAAATAGTCCAAATAGTGTGTCAAAGCTCAATATCTTCGTTACACATATAAATGTTATAGGCAGAGCTAAGAGCTACAACGTAAAATAATTTTTAACTATACAGGGTGTCCCAAAAAGTAGTGGAAATATAGACTTATATTTTGTAAATGGGGCACCCTGTATATGGATATCTACCACTGTTTTGATCTAAAGTATTGTTTGCGATACGGGAAGTCAAATGTATAATGATTTTAACGAAAAGTGGCCATACATTCCGAAATAACCAGTACAAACCCCCTAAACCATACATTGGCAGAATGGCCAAAAAATGCGCTTCTTAAAATCAACAGAAATACATTGTGTCCCTTTAAAAAAATAAAAGTTTATTTTGCCAATAATTTATGGGACACCCTGTATAGCTAAAAATAATTTTAGGTTGTAGCCCTTAGCTTCGCCTACAACTTTTATATATAACTTTTTTCTGCTACTATAATAGTAACGAAGATATTAGGATACTCTATATATGTTTCCTTTAACACATCGTCGGTTGTTTTGACAAAAACTCCTATGTGTTTAGAGAAGAACAAAAACTCTTTCTTTATTTAAAAAATATTTTCGCTTCCATTCACAGCGATTTTTAGTAAATCTCTGCAGAATTACTAGAGTTTCTTATTATGAAACTCTTGTAAATCGGATTGCGGAGCTCATATTTGACTATACAGATATTCAGAAAGCGCTGATGTGGAAAAATTGGTACAAAGGAGGTTCTATCAAAACGCCGACGACATTTTGGGAGAGAGCGGGACATAAAACATGTTTTTGATAGTGTTTTAAAAAATTTGGACCGCTGTGCAGAGGCGTAGCAAGGGGGGGTGGCGGGGCGGTCCGCACCGGATGTCACCTTTTTTGGGGTGACACCGACTCGGTGACACAACTTAAAGAACAATGTAGGAACATAAAAAAAATGCACAGATTGCACTGCAAAGTATAGGCTTAATTGTTGACGAAACTGCTACAAAACTACAGGCACTTCGTCTTTATATCGACGAAAAACGGGGACCATGCAAAACGTCGTGAATTCGTTAATTTCATTGAGCAACAGGAAGAAGGATTTTCCAAAAAAAACATCTTTAGTAACGAAGCATATTTCCAACTTAATGGGCAAGGTAAACAGACAAAATTGTCGGATTTGGGGGGAGGAAATCCAATCCAATATCCACCACTGTTTTGATCACTCAGATTTTATCTAAAGTATTGTTTGCGATACGGGAAGTCAAATGTATAATGATTTTAACGAAAAAGTGGCCATACATTCCGAAATAACCAGTACAAACCCCCTAAACCATACATTGGCAGAATGGCCAAAAAAATGCGCTTCTTAAAATCAACAGAAATACATTGTGTCCCTTTAAAAAAATACAAGTTTATTTTTCCAACAATTTATGGGACACCCTGTATAGCTAAAAATAATTTTAGGTTGTAGCCCTTAGCTCCGCCTACAACTTTTATATATAACTTTTTTCTGCAACTATAATAGAAACGAAGATATTAGGATACTCTATATATACGTATGTTTCCTTTAACACATCGTCGGTTGTTTTGACAAAAACTCCTATGTGTTTAGAGAATAACAACTCTTTCTTTATTATAATATTTTCGCTTTTATTCACATCGATTTTTAGTAAATCTCTGCAGAATTACTAGAGTTTCTTATTATGAAACTCTTGTAAATCAGATTACGGAGCTCATATTTGACTATATAGATATTCAGAAAGCCCTTATGTGGAAAAATTGTTACAAAGGAGGTTCTATCAAAACGCCGAAGACATTTTGGGAGAGAGCGGGACATAAAACATGGTTTTGATAGTGTTTTACAAAATTTGGACCGCAGTGCAGAGGCGTAGCAAGGGGGGGCGGCCCGCACCGGATGTCACCTATTTTGGGGTGACACCGACTCGGTGACTCAACTTAAAGAACAATGTAGGAACATAAAAAAAAATGCAAAGATTGCACTGCAAAGTATAGGCTTAATTGTTGACGAAACTGCTACAAAACTAGAGGTACTTCGTCTTTATATCGACGAAAAACGGGAACCATGCAAAAGTCGTGAATTCGTTAATTTCATTGAGCAACAGGAAGAATGATTTTCCAAAAAAACCATCTTTAGTAACGAAGCATATTTCCAACTTAATGGGCAAGGTAAACAGACAAAATTGTCGGATTTGGGGTGAGGAAATCCAATCCAATATCCATCACTGTTTTCATCACTCAGATTTTATCTAAAGTATAGTTTGCGATACGGGAAGTCAAATGTATAATGATTTTAACGAAAAAGTGGCCATATATTCCGAAATAACCAGTACAAACCCCCTAAACCATACATTGGCAGAATGGCCAAAAAAATGCGCTTCTTAAAATCAACAGAAATACATTGTGTCCCTTTAAAAAAATACAAGTTTATTTTGCCAATAATTTATGGGACACCCTGTATAGATAAAAATAATTTTAGGTTGTAGCCCTTAGCTCCGCCTACAACTTTTATATATAACTTTTTTCTGCAACTATAATAGTAACGAAGATATTAGGATACTCTATATATGTTTCCTTTAACACATCGTCGGTTGTTTTGACAAAAACTGCCATGTGTTTAGAGAATAACAAAAACTCTTTCTTTATTTAAAAAAATATTTTCGCTTCCATTCACATCGATTTTTAGTAAATCTCCGCAGAATTACTAGAGTTTCTTATTATGAAACTCTTGTAAATCAGATTGCGGAGCTCATATTTGACCTGTCACACATCACGAGACACAATCTAGTTATTGGAGCAGATCAAATCAAAAAATAAAAAATTGAGATAATGAAATTGATACGTGGATACCATATTTCAGAGTGAAATTGACAGATGAAAATGTCAATATGGCCGCTGGGTGCCATCTTGGAAAACAATTATATGAAAACGGGGCACATCATTTTGAAGCTCCTGACGAGTACTTCATAACCCTAGAATATAAAGTCAATACCTTTACCTACGTTAAAGTTTGTTCGATGAATAGAGGCCCCACCATATGATTTCCCAATATCCCAGCCCAAACGTTATCTTTTTTTGTGGATATTGAGTATGAGCTTCCCGGAAGACGTGAGGATTGGTGTCACTCCAATAACGACAATTTTGTCTATGCACATTACCGTTAAGAAAAAATGTACATTCATCACTAAAACAAATATTTTATATATTCAAAAGTCTTTATACAGTAGGACAAACCTCACATACATTCGCGATGGAGGAAGTAGACTGTTGAGGATTTACTATGATCTCAACAATTATTTGAACTTTTCTTCCGGGATGGTCGGATGACCTGGAGGCTTTTTGTTGTTTAAACTACCAGTCGCTGTAAATTTAGATACAAGTTCCGTTAAATATTTTCTACGGGTAGGACGATTTCGGGAAACGATCATTAAAAATCTTTTCGGTCTCGTGAAAGTTACGCGTCGCACCATAAATAAAAATCGCTTCGATTTTTTCTTCCAGTGGACGAGAACTGACCATTTTGAAAATAGTTCAAACAGTATCTAGCACTAAAACCGAAAACTAAATAAGAATATTTCAACTGTACAATGATGTTTGTTTTCGTACTGATATTCTTGCCACTGTCAACAAAAAGTAACAAAACAAGTTTTTACCGCTGTTGCTGTGGATACGGCAGGGATTTACAATTATTTGTAGAGATATGTATGTTAGTGAGTTTGTGTTCAAATGATTATTAGATGTACCACCATTTTGTAGTAGGTAAAGGTATGGACTTTATATTCTAGGGTTATAAAGTACTCGTCAGGAGCTTCAAAATGATGCGACCCCCATTTTCATCAGTCAATTAAAGAATTAAAGAAAAGCACTGTATTTATATTAATTCCACTCGAAATTCATTGTTTTATTACTTAATAAAAAATTGCGTCGATACTGGACAACCCCTTAAAATGGGATTTTACAGATTCTGTTTCAAATATTATGATTGCACTAGAATTGTTCATGACTGTTTGCTCCATCTAAAAGGAGTTACAATAAACTAAAATTGATTAACAATTATTCGCGGGCAACAATGACTCAATCGCGGCAATACTAAAACCGAAAACTAAATAAGAATATTTTAACTGTACAATGATGTTTGTTTTCGTACTGATATTCTTGCCACTGTCAACAAAAAGTAACAAAACAAGTTTTTACCGCTGTTGCTGTGGATACGGCAGGGAATTACAATTATTTGTAGAAGATATGCATGTTAGTGAGTTTGTGTTCAAGTAATTATTAGATGTACCACCATTTTGTAGTAGGTAAAAGTATGGACTTTATATTCTAGAGTTATAAAGTACTCGTCAGGAGCTTCAAAATGATGCGACCCCCGTTTTCATATAATTTTTTTTTCTAAGGTAGCGCTCAGCGGCCATCTTGACATTTTCATCAGTCAATTAAAGAATTAAAGAAAAGCACTGTATGTTATATTCATTCCACTCGAAAATGTTTTATTACTTAATAAAAAATTGCATCGATACAATAAATTTAAATTGATTAACAATTATTTGCGGACAACAATGACTAAAACCGAAAACTAAATAAGAATATTTTAACTGTACAATGATGCTTGTTTTCGTACTGATATTCTTGTCACTGTCAACAAAAAGTAACAAAACAAGTTTTTACCGCTGTTGCTGTGGATACGGCAGATAATTACAATTATTTGCAGAGATATGCATGTCAGTGAGTTTGTGTTCAAGTAATTATTAGATGTACCACCATTTTATAGTAGACAAAGGTATGGACTTTATATTCTAGGGTTATAAAGTACTCGCCATGTTGTTGTCATGTTTCGTTTTTTGGTGCCTCTCAAGATCATGTAGTCTTATTGCTCCAAATGGGCAAAGCGAGCATTTATACATTTTCCTCGTAACCGATGAAATAAAATCCGGATGTTTCCTTATTATATGATAATCTAGCGTGACTTTTTGTTTAAACGACAAGTCGCAATGGTCGCATTTGATCAATTTTATACTAGAGACGGCATCCGGATGTGTCAGCAAGTGCCTATCTATCTTTTGCTTGTCAATAGTTTTATACGGACAATGTGGACATTGATATATTTTTCTTGCCACTGACGATATGAATTCTGGATGTTTTTTCACAATGTGATCCTCTAACGTCCTTTGCTTTTTGAAGGTCGCCTCGCAATGTATACACGTATTGAGCACGCGCTTAGAAACTGTGTCAGGATGCACCAGTCGATGCTGATCAATTCCTTGTTTTAAAACAGTTTTATACGGACAATTTGGGCATTCGTATATGGTCCTTTTGATCGAATCAGCAAACTCTTGGTGTTTTTTCAATATATGATCATCTAGCGATACTTTTCGTTTGAAAGTCGCGTTGCAATGTGCGCATAAACTGCATTTGTCATCTTGGTGCGTTTTCATATGACTGGCCATATAGTGTTTTGCTGTCGTTCTATAATTACAAGTAGCGACCGGACATATATTGACTTCGTAATTAGAGACGTCTGGATGCGTCGACATATGCTTGACCAGATTGTTCTTTGTTGTCGTTCTATAGTTGCAAGTCGAGACCGGACATTCGTGTATCTTACAAGTAATTTCAGAAATATGCTCTGGGTGTTTCACCAATATATGCCCGCCTAAATTTGAGTTATTTCGAAATATAGCATGGCAATGTTTGCACTGAGCACTTCTTTTATTTTTCGTTGACAAGCGAGGGTGTTGTTTTCGCACGTGCGTGCGTAAAACATTCATGTCGCTGGTTTGGAATGCGCATTTTGCGCAAGTGTGCGTGCCGCTGTTCGATGCAGACATATCGGGATGTATCAACACATGTTTGTCTAGATTGTTCTTCCCGACAGTTTTATATGGGCATTTCGGACATTTAAGTATCTTTCTCGTCACTGACGATATGAATTCCGGATGTTTTCTCACTATGTGATCCTCCAATGTCCTCTCTCGTCTCACTATCGCATCACAATGGATACATTTATACGATCCTTTTGTCGAGGCTGTCTCAGAATGCACGATTGCATGCTCATCCAGCTTGTGTTTTGAAACAGTTTTATATGGGCAATTTGGGCATTCAAATATGATGCGTCCGACAAATTGAACAAACTCTGGGTGTTTTTTTACTATGTGGTCATCCAGTGACCGTCTTTGTTTAAATGTAGCGTTGCAATGCGCACATACACTTTTGTCATCTTGGTGTGTTTTCATATGACTGAACAAATTGGTTTTTATCGTTGTTCTATACTTACAATTTGTGATTTGACATTCGTGGATCTTACGAGCAACTGTCGATGTATATTCAGGGTGTTTGTTCAATATATGAGCGTCTAAATTTATCTTTTTTAGAAATGTAGCGTTGCAATGCATACATTTCATAGCTACTTTAGATTGTGAACGAGCGTGTGTTTTTCGCAAATGATCGTTCAAAATACTTATGTCGCTTGTTTTGAATGTACATTCTGAACAAGTATGTTCGCTACTGTTTGATACAGAAGCATCTGGATGTGTCGATATATGTCTGTTGAAGTCATACGTCCGGATCGTTTTATAATCGCAAACATTACATTCGTATATTTTGCAAGAAAGCGTCGGAATGATCTCTGGATGCTCTTTAACTACATGATTGTCTAAATTCATTTTCTTAGCGAATTCTTTACTGCATTGTGTACAAACGTACACGTTTCCCGGATCAGCTATTGTGAATGCGATAGAATCGGTATTCAAATTACAATTGTCGACTTTGATGTGTTTCATTAAAGTGTGTTTATTATGGGCTGTATAGCCACAATTATAGCATATGAATGATCCTCCCTCATCTGCTTCCGTATATCCAACGTCTAGTCCTTTCTCCCAGTATTTTCGCAGTCCCTCACTGAAAAAGAATACCAACAATTACATTTTGGTCTTCTACTGAGGCTGAGCATATGAACAAACACTATTTTAAACGTTAAAACGAACAGTAAACTTTGCAAGCAAAATATATACCGCTATACGAGCCCATTCCCACTTCAGCTGGTCCAACTATTGAAATCTTAGTTGGAATTTGTGAAAATGGAGAAAATTGGTCATCGTTATGTGGCACAATACTTTTATTTCAAACGTCTCAGCCCAACCAATATAAAAGCTGAACTGGATTCTACTCTGGGTGAGTCTGCTCCTTCGTTAACAACAGTAAAATATTGGGTAGCAGAGTTTAAACGAGGCCGTATGAAGAAGAAAGTGTTATTTCATCAAGACAATGCACCAGCTCACAAATCCGTTATTGCAATGGCCGAAATTAACGAATTAAAGTTTGAATTGCTACCTCATGCACCCTATTCACCAGCTTTATCCCCCTCGGATTAGTTTCTGTTTCCAACTTGAAAACATGGCTCGGTGGTCAAAGATTTTCCAACGATGAAGAAGTGATGTCGGCTATTTTGAGAAGCAAGACAGTTCTTATTATAAAAAGGGTATCGAACTTCATTGAACATCGCTGGGAAAAGTGTATAGAGCTCAAAGGAGATTATGTTGAAAAATAAATACATTTTTTACAACATTTTTGTGTTTTCTTCGTTGGGTCGGGTACTTCTGGTACCACCCTCGTACGCTTCAGAAATACCTTTGCTGTACACAAGCTCGCTTCCGGGAAATTAAATGGTTTATTAAACCTATGTAAATCAAAAGCAAACAGTCTTCCTAGCATTCCTGAGGCTTACCCGCTTTTCATTTTTCTCTAAAAGCCAAGGAAGATAAAAAATGCAAAGACGACATAATATCAACACTGAAAATACACGAATTGAGAACGATGATACTGGAGAAGACGAAGATAATTTGAGTGACTCAGATTGGCGTTAAAGAGGTTTTTTTACTGTTTGCACTAAGTCTAGAGCAAGTGTACTTTTTCTTTAATTGATCCAACGAGAACTATAGTAAGTCAGCAAAATTTATAAAAAAATGTCACTTTGCTAGGTTTGTATAGTAATACCATTTATAACCTTCAATATACAAGAATTACTGCAATGTGCAACATATTTTCGACGAGATCGTCATTTTTCTGCCTGAAAAGGCAAGCATTTTGAGACGACAGAGGGGATCCAAGCAGCATGCACCGCGGCTCTCAAGGCTATTCCGGAGAATGCCTTCCGTGACGCCTTCAATGCTTGGAAATCGCGCTGGCAGCGCTGCATCGACGCAGAAGGTGCCTATTTTGAAAGTTTTTAAAGAATTGTAACGATTGGCTCAATAATTTTTTTTAAATCGACTCAGTCCTATTACTTTCCGGACAAACCCTGTAGTCTTCCTTGCAGGGGTCGAAATATAAGTCCAGCTATGAAATTGTGCGTGAATATTACTTTTTTTTTGAAAGAATGAAATTCAAAGTTTATTCAAATTCAAAAACCAATATAACTTACAAATTAAAAGCAACCTTCAGTACAATTTGAATAAAAAAACGTTCAAAAATAAATGAGCTTGCATGCTCTTGCAACAGAAATCTGAGCAAAGATACTAGCATCAGATCTAGAACCAGCAAGTAACGGTATATGAATTGTGAAAATTCTGTATACTTTCGTAAAGGGTAAATGTCTGGATCTTGTCGTCACAAATCCTAAATTACGTTTCTGCATAAACAAATCTAAAATTCATAACAATAGTACAGAAGCGTACTAAAAACACTCAGAAGTATAAATATAGAGTACATAAAATATGAATATCTGAAATATGATAATAGAGGGATATTTCGAGTAAGGTCAAACTATGTTGTTTAAACAATAAAAATTTTGCGTAAAGGTTAAGCAGAGAAACAAGAGTACTACAATTTACTACAAAGTAATAGACACCTAAGCTATAAGCTTGTGTGTGTCATACAATATACAAATTCAATGCATGGCTAATGGTCATAAGGTATATTATGAGCAAATGTATATAAAAAAAGAAATAAAAAAAAAAACATTAGATAGAAACGAAATTACTGAGTTGAGTCAAGCTACCGTCGATGCAAGCATGTCAAAGTTATTTAAGATGAACTTCTTAATTCTTTTTTTGAAACTATACTTCGAGAGGATTTTATATTCTAGGGGTAATTTATTATACAACCTAATACCATCAAACTTTATGCATTTTTGGCAAACAGATTTATTCACTCTGGTATAGGTGTAACTTATATTTATTTTAGTTCTTGTTTCATAAGCGTGGCTGGTTGGAACATTGTTTCGGGAGTGAACAAATTTTAGAGCAGCAAAAATATATAAACCCCTAACATTCAAAAGATCATTTTCAATGTAAACAAATCTGCAACTTGACCGACATGGGATACGAAAAATAGTCCTGACAATATAATTTTGCGTGGTTTGTAGTATTTTTAAAGTACTAGTGTATGCGGCTCCCCAAATACTTATCCCGTAAGTTAGTAGAGACCCCACAAACGAGTTATATATTGAGAGAAGACTCTTTCTGCTTAAAATATTCCTAAGAATGAAAAACTTATGAATAATTCTCCTTAATTTCGATGCCAAAAGCTCGGCATGACTCTGCCATTTTAAATTACTGTCAACAATGATTCCTAAGTATCTAATAACTTCAACCCTTTCGACAGTGTCAGCACTATCATTTATATAATTAATGTTCGGTGGTGTAATGGCATGCCTGCTTTGGTTGGAGAAAACGTTACATACTTAGTTTTAGAGATATTAAGTTTAAGTAAATTGTTATCCAATTTATTATTTGACTTTATTTAATGACAACTCGGCATTCCGTATTGCGTCATCCCATGAATGACCAGTGCAAACTAAAACAGTATCGTCTGCATATCATATCATCTTACAGTTGAAATTACATCGAAGTAGTTCATTTATGTATATGAGGAACGGTGTTGGTCCCAAAACTGTCCCCTGAGGCACACCTATTTTGATCTCTTGAATGTTGCTTAAATCTGACCCTACCTTAACTTGTTGTAATCGATCAGCCAAATAGTTCTCAAATAAGTTCAGAACTCCACTACGCACTCCAACACTTTCTAGTTTCTTTAATAAAATTGTATGAGATACTGAATCGAAAGCCTTTTGAAGATCTAGGAAAACTGCAACAGTCTTATTTCCATCTTGAAAATTTTCAAGCACTTGCCCTGTAAGTTCTTGTAGAGAGTGCTCTGTATTGCAATTTTTGCGGAACCCAAATTGACAGTTCGATATTATGTCATATTTCTCAAGAAAAGAACAAAGTCTGTTATTCAAACACTTCTCAAAAATCTTCCCAAATACATTGATAACTGAAATAGGTCTATAATTGAACATATTGTCTTTACTTCCAGATTTAAATATTGGTGTCACTATGCTTTCTTTAAATTGGCGAGGAATTACGGAGGATTTGAAACAGGATAATACTTTTATACTTAACACTTTTTATTTTAGAAAAATCTTTGCTTTTCTTGAAAAACTCAACTTGCTTCAAGACAAGACACATCAAGTAGTTGAAAAAAATATAAAAAAGGGGCGTGTGTCACCTTAATACCCGCACGCGTCTTTCAACTGGATTGGGTATCTTTTGGTGGATTATTTGACTCGATGACGTCGCTATGTTTTGCTTTTTGGTGCCTTTCAAGATCAAGCCGCCTAACCGCTTGAAATGCACAATGAGCGCATTCAAACATTTTACGAGTAATTGACGAAATAAAATCCGGATGCCTTTGTGTAATATGACAATCCAAAGTCCATTTCCGATTAAACGACATATCGCAATGTTCACATTTAATCAGTTTCATATTAGAGACGGCCTCGGGGTGCTTTAGCATGTGCGTATCTAGACATTGCTTGACGACAGTTTTATATGGACAATGTGGACATTGAAGTAACTTTCTTGTCACCGTCGATATGAATTCCGGGTGCTTTTTTACTATGTGGTCTTCTAACGTCTTCGCCTTTTTAAATGTCTTTTCGCAATGTATACACGTGTCGAGAATACGGTTAGAAACTGCGTCAGGATGTACCAACAAGTGCTGATCCAGCCCTTGTTTGAATACAGTTCTATACGAGCAATTCGGGCAATCATATATAGTTCTTTTAATCGTATCAATAAACTCAGGGTGCTTTTTCAATACATGATCATCTAACGATTTGCTTTGTTTAAAAATCGCGTTGCAATGTACGCATAATCTTGATTTCTCGTCTTGGTGCGTTTTCATGTGACTGACCATATAGTGTTTTGCTGTTGTTCTGTAATTACAAGTTGGGACTGGGCATAAGCTGACTTTGTAATTAGAGACATCTGGATGCGTCGACATGTGCTTGACCAAATTGTTTTTTGTTGTCGTTTTGTAGGGACAAGTCGAGACTGGACATTCGTGTATCTTGCAAGTAACTTCAGATATATGCTCAGGGTGTTTCAGCAATATATGCCCGCCTAAATTTGAGTTATTCCGAAATACAGCATCGCAATGTCTGCACTCCGCGTTTCTTTTATTTTTAGATGACGAACGAGAATGTTTTCGCATGTGCGTGCGCAAAATACTTATGTCTCTTGCTTTGAATGCACATTTTGCACAACAAAGTGCATCATCGTCAGATTTAAGATGTGTCAGTATATGACTGTCGAACTTGCTATTCTCGATGGTTTTGTATGGGCAATTGGGGCATTCGTAATATACGGTTTGTTCAACAGATTCTGGATGTTTTTTTACTATATGATCGTCCAACGCCTTTCTTTCTCTGAAAGTTTCGCTGCAATGTGGACAACTGAATTTGTGATTAGAGATATCTTGCTGTGTCGACTTATGCATTACTATATTGGCGTTTGTTGTTGTTGTATCTGTGGAACCTGAACTTAGTTTGAATTTAGAGATATTCGGATGCGACGACATATGCTTGACAATATTGGTTTTATTCGTTGTTATATACTTACAACTTGGGAGTGGACATTCATGTATCTTACAAGTAATCGCATTTATATGCTCGGGGTGTTTTTGTATTATATGACTGCCTAATCTTGTGTTCTTCCGAAATACGTCATTGCAATATTCACACTTAATCAATTTTATCCTGGAAACGGCATCAGGATGTTTCACCAAATGTGTTTCGAGCTTGTGCTTGTCGATAGTCCTGTATGAACAACACGGACACTGATGTACCTCTCTCGTCACCGACGATATGAACTCCGGGTGTTTTTTCACTATGTGATCTTCTAATGCTCTCCCCCTCTTGAAAGTCGCTTTGCAATGTGTACATGTATTGAGAATCAACATAGGGACTGTGTCAGAATGCACCAGGAGATGCTCCTCAAGTCTCTGTTTTACAACAGTTTTATACGGGCAATTTGGGCATTCGTATATACTTCGTTTAACCGATTCAACAAACTCTGGATGTTTCTTGACTATATGATCATCCAACGTCCTGGTTTCTCTGAAAGTCGCGTTGCAATGTGGGCAACTGAATTTGTGATCAGAGACATCTTGATGCGTCGACATATGCCTGACCATATGCCTACTTTCTGTTGTTCTATACTTGCAAGGTGGGACTGGACATTCATGTATCTTACAAGTAACTTCAGATATATGCTCCGGGTGTTTTCTCAATATATGACCGCCTAAATTTGTATTATTCCGGAATACAGCACTGCAGTATTTGCACTTCGCGCTTCTTTTATAATTAGATGATAAACGATGGTGTTCTTTCAGCATATGTTTACGCAAAACAATTACGTCGCTTGTTTTGAATGTACATTCTGAACAAGTATGCGGGGCACTGTTTGATGCGGAAGGATCAGGATGTGTCAACATATGTCTTTGGAAGTTAGATTTTCGGCGACTTTTATAATCACAAACTTTACATTCATATACTTTGCAAGAAAGTGTCGGGATGATCTCTGGATGTTGTTTAACTACATGACTGTCTAAATTCGTTTTCTTACTGAATTTTATACTACATTGTTTACAAACGTATAAATTTGCTGTATGGGCATTCGCATGTGTGTTTAAAGATTTGTTAACATGCGGGTCCAAATTACAATTTCCGGCTTTGATGTGTTTGATTAAAGTTTGTTTGGTAAGGGCTGTAAAGCAACAATTGTAACATATGAATGATTCTCTCTTATCTGCTTCCGTATCTCCAACGCCTAGTCCTTTCTCCCAGTTTTTTCGCAGTCCCTCACTGAAAAAGAATACCAACAATTACATTTTGGTCTTCTATTGAGCCTCAGCATGTGAACAAACAATATTTTTAAACGTTAAATCGAACAGTGATCTTTGCAATCAAAATATATACCGCTATATAAAATAGGAAAGTTCTATTCGGGGAAGAATGGACAATGTTTATATTGTTCCCTTCCTCTTTATATGTATATGTGAGCATGTAAATGTATGAGTAAGTTTTTGTGTTAAATCTGCTCTTTTCGTATATAATATTTTTTTTTTCTCGTTTGTAATTATTATTTTTACTATTAACTTATACAGGGTGTCCGCAAAGTTGGGGTTTTCCTTTACACGACGTGTAGATCTTCAAAACATAAGCAATTTTTCTAGTACCATATACACCAATGTCTTAAGGGAACCGAGATAAAGGGCTCTGCAACATCAAAAATATCTGAATACCGTCCTGTAGCCGCGACATCACCGACTGGTACAAGGTCACTGGCTCAACCCGACGACAGAACTGGGTCGGGGTCAGTGTGTCAGGTCAGTATGCAATCTTCAACCGACGGTTACGGTCACGCGTGTGGAGGTAATCGCGTAGACGATAATCCCTCAACAAGCACTAGAGACGTGGCTAGAGAAGTGCAAGTATCAAAAACTAAAGTGTGGCAAACGCTGCGTGAAGAGGGGCTGTATCCGTTTCACGTCCAACGTGTACAAGCCCTTCAACCTGACGATTTTCCAGCAAGAGTGCGGTTTTGTGAGTGGTTGTTGCATCAACATGACAATAATCCGGACTTTTTGAAGTGCATATTGGTGACAGACGAATCTACGTTCACGCGTAATGGGGTGAATAACTTTCGCAACACTCATGTTTGGTCAGTAGAAAATCCGCACGCTGTCCGTCGGGCACATTTTCAACAAACATTTTCGGTGAATGTTTGGGCTGGCATGGTGAACGGTATGCTCATTGGACCATTTATTCTCCCAAATCGATTGGACGGGATGCAATACCTAGACTTTTTACGCAACATTTTGCCTTCCTTGTTAGAAGATGTGCCATTAAGTGTAAGACAATCAATGTGGTTTCTGCACGATGGTGCACCGCCCCATTTTAGACGCGAAGTACGTGAGTTTTTGAATGAATTATTTCCGAATAGGTGGATCGGACGTAATGGACCCGTAGCGTGGCCTTCGCGATCTCCAGACTTAACACCATGTGATTTTTTTCTTTGGGGAGAAATGAAACGCTTAGTGTACAAAACTGAAGTGCATACGGTTGACGAACTTCGTCTCAGAATTGAACAAGCTGGTGCTTTCATTCGGGGGAGGGACTCCATTCTCAGAGCCTGCACCGATGCTTGGCTACGTCGTGCACGCACCTGTGTTTTTGAATAAAACGGCGATAACTTCGAACAATACCTATAAAGGACGTTTACCTAAAAACTGAAAACGCGGCAACGCCGTCTTATTTGTTACCTCTGTTCGTGGTCTGCACCACCGCCGGCGTCTGCTCGGTAGCGCATCAGCTGATTTCATTTTCTGTTGGAGCAGTATAATTTCGGGCAGAGACGTACTTAGCCCTTCTCGTCAACTGGAGAGTGAGTACTTTTTCCTTTATTTTTTTTTACTTTTTTACTACACATTACCTTTGTTATTTCAAGGGTAGTTGTTTCTGAAAAGGAAAACCCCAACTTTGCGGACACCCTGTATAATTTGGTTAAGAGCTCCTCTATTGCTATTTTGTTTGTTGGGCTAGTACTTTGATCAGCTTGTCTGTTTACTAGTCCCTTTTGCAGAGAATTGATGTTGTTTTTATATTCTTAATTTTTTTCTCTTTGTATTTTTTTGCTGTGCATTATTGCATTGTGTGTTTTGGGCCAGCAACAGGAGCAGGGTCTATAAACTGGTTTTTAGGCCTTGAAAATAATTCAAACTTCAAGTTGATTGCATCTATTAGATTGATGCAAATATTTTTGAACGTATTTTAAACCTCCATCAGCAATTTTCTTTTTAGTTGAGCGTTTGATTATTCTTTAAAAGTCTGAAGTTCGCAATCTTTGTTTGATATTCAGCCAATACGTATCAATCTCTCGTTATAGCCCACCACTTTACAACGCAATTACAGTCTAACGAATCTCAAGAAAAAACTAAAAGCAACGCTTCTCCTCTACCTGATAATAATGAGATCAATTTTCAAAAATTCAGCTAGAATAAGAATACGATTTTTCGAGATACCATATGGGCATTACAATTTTATATTAAATGACTTGAAATTTGAACATGACTTAAATACTATTAGGCAATAGTTACAAATCCAATGTACCTATTACTTTATTATTGTGCGATTCTATTCAGATTTTTTTTTACTAAATTTCACACCCAGTACTGGGATTTATCGGGTTGTGAAGATTTTGATAGAAATCGACCTCCCTTGGCGAATTTTGACGTCGGAGCCCTTTTCTCACCCTCTTGGGGAAAGGGAAAATTCCAGAATTTTCCTAAAATACAAGCGAATTTGAAAGAAAGTGATTATAGGGCCAGAAACTCGCCAACAAGGTGAGAAAAGGGCTCCGACAACAAAATTCACCAAAGGAGGCCGATTTCTATCAAAATCTCCACAACCCGATAAACCGCAGCGCTGGGTGTGAAATTAATTCACTACCGCGGGTTGTGGGCCGCTGAGCTCATACACGACAACACCGGAAATAGCACCAAGTCACCATTAGCTCTCGTATTAATAAAAAATGACCTTTAACGAGATGGACTAAGAGAAGTGTTTTGTTATAAAAATTAAATTCGATATTTTTAAGAACTGCTATAAAATTAGCACTCTAAATAAGTAAAACGTAATAATTTACTTTATCATGAGATAGTTAACTTATAATCGGTCATAAAAAGAAACTGTAATAGTTTATAATTTAATTCTCGACTGAGCTGAAAAGGTACCTAATTTAAAAATCGAAAGTTGAAGTCGTTTCCGGTCAAACCGGAAGTAAGTCAAATCAAGTGGATATGTCAAAAAATGTAGACATCAATCCGCGAAGGAGGCCCAGTCACCAACCACATGACATGGGGAGGCCGATTTCCATCAAAATCTCCACAACCCGATAATCCGCACCGCTGGGTGTGAAACTAATTCACTACCGCGGGTTGTGGGCCGCTCAAGTCCTACACGAGAAAACCAGAAATAGCACCAAGTCACCATTAGCTTTCGTATTAATAAAAAATGACCTTTAACGAGATGGAGAGTAGAGTACGATTTTTAAGAGACTAAGAGAAGCGTTTTGTTAGAAAAATTAAATTCGATATTTTTAAGAACTGCTATAACATCACCACTCTAAATAAGAAAAACTGAGTTGAAAAGGTAACTCATTTAAAAATCGAAAGTTGGAGTCGTAGATCTCAATCCGCGAAGGAGGCGCAGTCACTAACCACATGACCGCTAGATGGCATCATGTTTAGTATGTTCAATGGCAAGTAGACCGCATCTATTGTACAGCCAGAATCGTCAGCCATCTAGCGGTCACACGGCTATTAAACTCGAACTGAGAACGTTTACAGGCCCCAACAAACAGCTCCGCAGTGCTCGATTTTGGTGGTAGATGGCGCTTTGCGCTGTCTTATTAAAACAAACATAACACAAAAATTATAAGCAATTATTCCAAATATTGAAGAGAAAACGCTCTAATACAATGCGTTTTATACTGCCGAGAGGAACATTTGTCACAGAGTGACATCAATCTCAATGGCGTCGAAATAAGTGTCCCTACAAGATCCAAATAGTGCAAGAATTAAACCCAAATGACCTTATAAGCCGTTGTTGCTTTGCCGAAACAATGATAAACCGTTTTTTTGCAAATGACCGAATTAACAACATTCTGTTCTGTGACGAGGCGCACTTTCATCTTCAAGGCGCAGTTACTACGTAAAATTGTCGCTATCGGGCACCAGAGAATCCAAAGCAAAAACACGAAAGGCCCAAAAGCCCAAAAGTAACTGTGCGGTGTGCAATGTCGGCTTCAGGAATTATCGGCCCGTTCTTTTTCGAGAACCAACGTGGCATAGCCCAGACTGTAACTAGTGATCGTTATTGTGCAATGCTTGGTTACAGAATTTGTTCGAGAATTATTCCCGGAAAAGATCATCCCTCGCTAAACTGGCCAGCTAGGTCTCCAGATCTAACCCCATTGGACTTTTTTTTGGAGTACCTTACGTGAACTCCGCCTATATTGTGTGTATTTTTGCTTCGATAAATTAAGTTTAAAACTTCAAGACAATTTTTTATGAGTATTATTGTACACATGTTAATGCCCGTCCTCGAGCGGATCCGTCTTTGGACCGGACTGGGTATCTTTTGGTGGAATATTTGACTCGATCACGTTGCTATGTTTAGATTTTTGGTGCCTGTCAAGATCACGTCGCCGAACTGCTCGAAATGAACAATGCGGGCATTCAAACATTTTACGCGTAATTGACGAAATAAAATCCGGATGTTTTTGGGTAATATGAGAATCTAAAGTCCACCTATGATTAAACGACATGTTGCAATGTTCACATTTAATCCATTTTATTCTAGTACCAGCCTCCGGGTGTTTCGCCATATGCGTATCTAGATTTTGCTTGACGATAGTGCGATATGGACAACAAGGACATTGATGTATGTCCCTTTTCAATGACGATATGAACTCAGGGTGCTTTTTTAATATGTGATTTTCTAATGTCTTCGTCTTTTTGAATGTCGCTTCACAATGAATGCACGTGACGAGAACCCGTATAGAAACTGCGTCAGGATGTACCAACAAATGCTGATCAAGCCCTTCCTTGAAAACGGTTCTATATGGGCAATGTGGGCAGTCGTATACAGTTCTTTTAATCGTATCCATAAATTCTGGGTGTTTTTTCAATATATGATCATCTAAAGACTTCCTCTGTTTAAAAATCGCGTTGCAATGTACACACGATCTGGATACTTCATCTTGGTGCGTCTTCATATGAGTGATCAAATTGCGTTTTACTGTTGTTCTATAATTACAAGTTGGGATCGGACATAAACTGACTTTGCAGTTGGAGACGTCTGGATGTGTCGACATATGCTTGACCAAATTGTTTTTTCTAGTCGTTCGATAGCTACAAGTTGAGACTGGACAATCATGTATCTTACAAGTAACTTCGGATATATGCTCAGGGTGTTTCAGCAATATATGCCCACCCAGATTTGAGTTATCTCGGAATACGGCGTTGCAATGTTTGCACTCTGCGCTTTTTTTATTTTTAGATGAGTGTTGTTTTCGTATATGTGTGCCGCTGTTGGATTGAGAATCACGATGTGTCAATATATGACTGTCAAACCTGCTCTTCTCGATAGTTTTGTATGGACAATCTGGGCATTCATAATATACGGTTTGTTCAACAAATTTTGGATGTTTTCTTACTATATGATCATCCAACGCCTTTCGTTCTCTAAAAGTCTCGTTGCAATGTGGACAACCGAATTTGTTATTAGAGACACCTTGACGCGTGGCGATATTGGTGTTTCTTGTTCTATACTTACACGAACTGTGTTTGTAATTTGGATGTGACGACATGTGCCTGACTATATTGGTTTTATTCGTTGTTATATACTTACAAGTTTTGACCGGACATTCGTGTATCTTACAAGTAATCGCACTTATATGCTCAGGGTGTTTTTGTATTATATGACTACCCAATCTTGTGTTCTTCCGGAATTTATCATCGCAATATTCACATTTAATCAATTTTATATTAGAAATAGCGCCAGGATGTTTTGCCAAATGTGTCTCGAGCTTGTGCTTGTCGATGGTTTTATACGGGCAACATGAACATTCAAGTATCTCTTTAGTCACTGACGATATGAACTCTGGGTGTTTTTTCACTATGTGGTCTTGTAATGCTCTTTTACTTTTAAAAGTCGCCTTACAATGTTTACACGTAGGGTCTGAGTCAGAGTGCACCAGTAGGTGCTCATCAAGTCTCCGTTTTACCGCAGTTTTAAACGGGCAATTCGGGCATTCATATATATTTCGTTCGACAGATTCAACAAACTCTGGATGTTTTTTTTCTATATGGTAATCCAAGGACCTCTTTTCTCGAAGAGTCGCGTTGCAATGCGGACAACTGAATTTGTGATCAGAGACATCTTGATGTGTAGACATATGCCTGACCATATGCCTACTTACTATTGTTCTATACTTGCAAGTTGGTTCTGGACATTCATGTATTTTACAAGTAACCTCAGATATATGCTCGGGGTGTTTATTCAATATATGACCACATAAATTTGTATTACTTGGGAATGAAGCGTTGCAGTATTTGCACTTTAAACGTCTTTTATAATTAGATGATAGATTGTGTTGTTTTAACATATGTTTGCGCAAAACACTTACGTAGCCCGTTTTGAATGTACATTCTGAACAAGAATGTGTGCCACTTTTCGAAGCACAAAGATCAGGATGTGTCAACATATGTCTCTGGAAATTACACTTTCGGCGACTTCTATAATCACAAACTTTACATTCATATACTTTGAAAGAAAGTGTCGGAATTATCTCTGGATGTTCTTTAACTATATGACTGTCTAAATTCGTTTTCTTATCGAATTCTTTACTGCATTGTTTGCAAACGTATAAATTCGCTGTGATTGAAGATTTGTTAACATCTGTTTTCAAATTACAATTGCGCGCTTTGATGTGTTCGATTAAAGTATGTTTGGTAAGGACTGTAAAGCAACAATTATAACATATGAATGATTCTCTCTTATCTGCTTCCGTATCTCCAACGCCTACTCCTTTCTCCCAGTATTTTCGCAGTCCCTCACTGAAAAAGAATACCAACAATTACATTTTGGTCTTCTATTGAGCCTCAGCATGGGAACAAACAATATTTTCAAACATTAAATCGAACAGTGACCTTTGCAACCAAAATATATACCGCCATATAAAATAGGAAAGTTCTATGTTGGGGAGAACGGGCAATGTCTGTATCGTTCCCTTCCTGTTTATATGTATATGTGAGCATGGAAATGTATGAGTATGTTTTTCTGTTAAATATGCTCTTTTCGTATATAATTTCTTTACGTATTTTTCTTGTCCCTTGTAATTATTATTTTTAATATTAACTTATATAATTTGGTCAAGAGCTCCTCTATTGCTATTTTGTTTGTTGGGCTAGTACTGTGATCAGCGTGTCTGTTTACTAGTCCCTTTTGCAGGGAATCGATGTTGTTTTTATATTTTTAATTTGTTTCTCTTTGTATTTTTTTGCAGTGCAAATAAACGCTATTATTATTACGTTGTGTGTTTTGCGCCAGCAACAGGAGACAGCCACAAAAGAGTAGGGTTTATAAACCGGTTTTTAGGCCTTGAAAATAATTCAAATTCAAACGTTTTTTAAACCTCCATCAGCAATTTTCTTTTTAGTTGGGCATTTGATTATTCTATAAAACTTTAAAGTTCGCAACCTTTGTTTAATATTCACCCATACATATCAATCTCCCGTTATAGCCCAACACTTTACATCGCAATTACAGTCTAACGAATCTCGAGAAAAAATTAAAAGCAACGCTTCTTCTACCCGCCTCCTCTACTTGATAATAATGAGATCGATTTTCAAAAATTCAGCTACAATAAGACTGACTATAAGATTTTTCGAGATGGGCATTATAATTTTATATTAAATGACTTGCAAGTTGAATATGTGTATTGAACATCTGTATAGACTTCACTCTTCAAGAGGGTGAGAAAAGAGCTCCGATAACAAAATTCACCAAGGGAGGCCGATTTCCATCAAAATCTCCACAACCCGATAAACCGCAGCACTGGGTGTGCAATTAATTCACTACCGCGGGTTGTGGGCCGCTGAAGTCCTACACGAGAACACCGGAAATAGCACCAAGTCACCATTAGCTCTCGTATTAATAAAAAATGACCTTTAACGAGATGGAGAGTAGAGTACGATTTTTATTAGACTAAGAGAAGTGTTTTGTTAGAAAAATTGAAATCGATATTTTTAATAACTGCTATAACATCACCACTCTAAATAAGAGAAACTGAGTTGAAAAGGTACCTCATTTAAAAATCGAAAGTTGGAGTCGTAGATCTCAATCCGCGAAGGAGGCCCAGTCACCAACCACATGACCGCTAGATGGCATCACGTTTAGTATGTTCAATGGCAAGTAGACCGCATCTATTTTACAGCCAGAATCGTCAGCCATCTAGCGGTCACACGACTATTAAACTCGAACTGAGTGTTTTTTTAATATGTGATTTTCTAATGTTTTCGTCTTTTTAAATGTCGCTTCACAATGAATAAAGGTAATGAGGACCCGTATAGAAACTGCGTCAGGATGTACCAACAAATGCTGATCAAGCCCTTCTAGTTCTATATGGGCAATTTGGCCAGTCGTATATAGTTCTTTTAAGCGTATCCATAAACTCTTTGTATTTTTTTCAATATACCTGTATGACTGTTTAAATTCGTTTTCTTATCGAATTCTTTACTGCATTGCCGCTATATAAAATAGGATAGTTCTGGGTTGGATCAATATTATGCGCATTGTGTCATTTATCAGTGTATTTGGAAATAGTTGAACATATCGAAGCAAATAATTTTTTTATAACCAACAGTCAGCATTTCGTAAGATGCACAGATTTGAAACCGCTATTCAATTAACTGTTTGTACATTTAAAAATGACATTGACAAGAACAAGTATGGCATTGTTGTTTCTTGACTTGAAAAGAGCATTTGAGACCATAGATCGTAATATATTCTCATCAAAATTTGCTGTGTATGGAATTTCTGGTAAAGTTTACGTTTAGTTTTTTAATTACTTAAATTGCAGGAATCAAAGGTTGAGAATTGGTCTTGTATAACTGAATATTTCCCTCATGTATAAACAACAACTAATAGGAAAATAATGGGTAAAATCCGCAAAAAGAAGGAAAGTGGATTCGAGCAGAAAACAGGATAGGTAACCCGAGCGATACGTATTTCTGCTGGTTGGCTTCATCAGGCCCGAAATATGCAACTACAAAAGTAGATACACATGCTCATACATCCGGATACGGGTGTAAGCTGAGGAAACAAAGATGGATAGGAAAAAAAATCACATCGAATTTTCAAGGCGACATCTAACCACAACCAAGCGGCCGGTTATAGCCACTTGTTATGGTACTTTAAGCCCAAAGGGTCTACAACGAGAAAATGATCATGCGGAGAAAGGTATATAACACAAAATAGGAAAATAATGGGCAAAATCCGCAAAAAGAAGGAAACTGGATTCGAGCGGAAAAATAGGATAGGTAACCCGAGCGATACGTATTTCTGCTGGTTGGCTTCATCAGGAGCTCTTTGTAGATCCTTTGAGCTTGAAGTACCACAGCAAGTGGCTATAACCGGCCGCGTGGTTGTGGTTAGATGTCTCCTTGAAAATTCGAGGGCTTCTAGCCATTTTATACTACAATGTGTAGGTTGGCTCTTGTTGTGGACTTCGTGTGTGATTTTTTTCCCTTTTCATCTTCGTTTCCCCAGGTTACACCCGTATCCAGGTATGGGCATGTGTATCTACTTCTGTAGTTGCATATGTGCATTCATTTCGGGCCTGATGAAGCCAACCAGCAGAAATACGTATCGCTCGGGTTACCTATACTATTTTCTGCTCGAATCCACTTTCCTCCTTTTTACGGTATTGCACATTATTTTCATACTTTTTGTTATTATATATTCTCCGCATGATCATTATATATATATATATATATATATATATATATACAGGGTGACTTCGAAGTTGAGTCATTTATTTTAACAGTGAGTAGATCTGATCAAAAGAAATGTTTTTTCCTTTACCATTTTTCTGGTAAAATTAAAGTAACAAAGTTATAGCCCTTTGGAAGTTTGAGTACCGCCCTGTCTCAATAATAATATTATGTGCTCGTGTTTGGCAACAACGGATATAATCCGCCTTATCGGTTCATCGCATCGGAAACAAAAAAGCGAAAGAATTTGGAACGATGTTTTTACAATTATTTTATTCAGTTGTATACAGTCAGTGTCAGTCGGTAACGCGTGAGTGAATAGTGGTGTCTGTTGCGTGGCTCAAACGAAATAAAAAATGGCACATGTTTATGCGGATCGGTTTCCCAATCGAGTGCAACCAACCCCTCGTGCCTTTGTTAATGTAGTACAACGGGCTCGTGAATCAGGTGACTTAAGACCTCACAGGGGACGGCATACCGGTGCTCCAAGACCTCACGATCAAATACAGGTCCGCACTGAAATACTTGTCGGGAGGATACTTTATAAAACAAGGTAAATTTTTTGTTTTTTTATTTTTTTTTTATTTTTACACACATATTTTGGTTCATCTTCCTTCTACAACCATTATCTGAAAATTAATGACTCAACTTCAAAGTCACCCTGTATATACTTTCCATTCAATTGTTACTGAGCTAGGGAAAAGGGAAGAGCGGGTGCCCCCTCTTGCCACCCCCTGGGTACGCCCTTGGTGACACCGTTAGAAGACGATTGAAGATAATTTGTCAATCGAAACGTTGTGAGACCAAAATTGTAAAGGAGTGGTATTTGTTGTTAATTAATGATGTTGCTATGTTTTGATTTTTGGTGCCTGTCAAGATCCATCGATTTGAACGCTTTAAAGGGACAATGCGGGCATTCGAACATTTTACATTTAACTGTCGACATGAAATCTGGATGTTTTTTTATGATATGATGATCTAAAGAGCGCTTGCACTTGACCGTCACATCGCACTGTTCGCACTTGAACAATTCTCTAGCAGAAACAGGATTGGGATGCGTAAGCAAATGTCTTTTCAGCCCGGTCTTCGCAACCGTTTTAAATGGACAAGACGGACATTGGTGTATCTTCCTCGTCACTGACGATATGAATTCAGGATGTTTTTTCACGATGTGATCTTCCAGCGTCTTCCCCTTTTTCAAGGTCGTTCCACAATGTATACACGTATGAAGAGTTATCGGGATGGTATCCGAATGCGCCAATAAATGCTCGTCGATGCTGTGTTTAAACACGCTTTTATAAGGGCAATTCGGGCATCCGTATATGACTCGTTTAACGTGCTCGACGAGCGCCGGATGTTTTTTCACGATATGATCGTCCAACGCATTTTTTTTCGGCGTTTTGTACTTACAAGT